TGCTTAGATTCTTTACTCACTGGAAGGCAGTCTTTTAAGACTTTTTCCTCGCACTTTATGTAATCATAGCTCAGTTCTCAGAGGAGAACATCTTAATACCACCTGCAGACCTACTTGCCAATGCACAACTTTCAGCCACCACAACTGGGGTTTCAGTGCAGATCAGAGAGCACATAATATGCACAGTCACCCAGAGAAGAGAGATGCATTCATTCTTAATAAACAAGAAATTTCTTCCTTGCCCAGAACCTGTACTATGCAAACTCTTGTGGGACTTTTTTCCCATGTCCTTAGCAGAGGTACAAGGATTTAGACTTCTTTTTTTTTTTTTTTTTTTTTTTTTTTGCCAGCAAATTAGATCTGTTTGGTTTCTGTCCCAGGAGACTGCCTCATGTGATACCCACTGGCGTGGAGATTTGTGAACCTAAGTTACTTAAGCCTTTATGGGATTCCTTAGACTAGAAAGTAACTCCTCCTTGAGTTGGAGAGTCAAACTTGGTATCTGTGGATGGAGTAACATGGCATGAATGTGCATGGACTGGGATTGTGTGGTCAGGAATGGGAATTCCTTTGGGTGACATCTGATGTTGCAGTGATGTTTGCAGGTATGCTCCTCCTCCTCCCTGTTTTGATCCCAGCAATGTCCAGTCTCTCCCTTCAGCCAGCACTGGTGCTTATTTACATTTGTAACAGGCTGTTCTGTTTACTAAACTGGTGGAAAACATTGTTTTGTTTGGTTCTGTTGTTTGTTGGATTAGTGACGTGAATGAGCTCACTGTGGGATCAAGTCGGCCCTAGTGCTGGCGTAAAGGAGGGAAGAGAGAAATGGGATCTCACTGTCTCTGGTTTAAGCTGCTGCAGAAACCACAGCCTGTGTCACCAAAGGAACTGGAGCAGCTGTTGCTCAGGAGCCACTTGACTGCTCTTTGACTTAAACTGATATGACAACACCTGGTCCACCAAAGGGGTATTTGCCTCTGTCAGCAGGTGACACAAGCTTTAATTTGAGCAGC